ACTGCTGGGAAGGAAACCAGGCCCAGTGTCTAGCTTATTTCATTCATAATACAAGACAGAAACCTGGATTTGTGTATGAAATCTCCTGATTTTTTAAAATATTTCCAACCACTTCAAAAATTAAAAATGCACAGCAAGGCTGAACATGTTTTTGGGAGATGGGAATGAAATGAATGTCCTGCAGGGAAAACTGTGCTCTTGGCAGAAGTCTGACGCATAGATTTCTGATAAGAACCTGCCTTGATGGTGGAGGGTTTAGGTTAGGACAATGGTTGATTAAAGTGACCCTAGAGCCCCCGGGGGATGTGAGCCTTTTGTTCACTCAAGTTTCCAAAGAGGAAAAAAAAAAAAAAAAACCACAACAGATCAAAGGGGGAAAAGTCTACTTTTAGTCACACTGACTCTGACTTCCCAGGGTTCCCACCAGCATGCTGTGCACTACTGTCCTAACAGCTTCAAAGTGCATCCTGCAAAAGCCTGGGGGCCTGTGGTAGCATCTGTTGCCATCACAGGTTGCAACTGCTGGGGGCTGGGAGACTTCTCCAATCCCCCACATACTTAAGCCAGAATGGTTCCATGTTTGTTGGGTTACAGTTCAGAGTTTGGTGTAAATTATCCATTGGGAAAGAAAGGGTTCCATTGTTCAAATAAACATTTTTGTGTCTATCTCCACCATCAGTATGTCTGAGGTGGTATTTACAGAGCCCCTCCCAAGTGCCAGGCTAGGTGCTAAAGAATCAATGGTGAGCAACACAGACATGGCCGCTGCCCTGTGGGAGCTTAGTCTCATGAAGTTGGGCACTAATCAAACCCAGTCATACAAATATAAAGGTAGAACCAGGAGAAGAACTGAAAGGAGGGGCACTATGTAAATCTAAGATGTAGGATTTGACTAGACGACTAGGAGTTAACCAGGCACAGAGGGAACAGTATGTGCCAAGGCACTGTGGCAGGAAACCTGGTGCCTACGGCAGTCTAGAGAAAGGCTCATGTCATTGGAGTCCAAAAGTGAGAAAGAGGATGACAGAAGATGAGGTTAGAAAGGGAGGGAGGGCCTTGGTCATGTGGGACCTTCCAGGCCTTTGTAAGGATTTTGGCTTTTACCCTAAAGGAAAGAAAGCCACATGTTATGAACTGAATGTATGTTCCTAAAATTCATATGTTGAAGCCCTCACCCCCAAAGTGATTGTATTTGGAAGTGGAGCCTTTGGGAACTGATTAGGTTTAGATGAGGCCATGAGGGTAAAGCCATGATGGGATTAATGTCTGTTATCCTAAGAGAGACCACAGCTCTCGCTCTGTCTGCCACCTGAGGACAAACGAGAAGGTGGCCAGCTGGAAGCCAGAAGAGGGCCCTTACCAGGAACCGAATGTGCCAGCACCTTGATCTTAGAGTTTTCAGCCTCCAGAACTGTGAGAAGTCAATGCGCTGCTTAAGCCCCCCAGTCTATGGTGTTTTGTCACAGCAGCCCCAGCTAATACACTGTGGAAAGGTAAACCCTGGATGCAGGCTGGGGAACAGACTGGAGAGGGCTGGGATGGAAGCAAGAAGACCATGCTGGAGGCTGCCTCAGGACCAAGATGGGAAATGGTCACAGGGACACAGGCTGGGGGGTGGTGATAGAAATGACAAGTGACTTCACACGGGGCTGATCTGCTGAGAGGCATACATTCCTGTGAGAATAACTGGCTGGGGGTCAGGGGGTAGGGGAGGGAAGAGACCCTAGCACCGGCTCAGGCCTCAGGTGGCAGGGGCCTGTCCCCCTCGACCATGATATTCCTTCAGGCTCCAAACTGCAGACTAATGATATCATGAGGCTGACTTCTGAGGAAAATTTCATTACCAAGGGTTTCTCATGCTCTCCAAATTCTTCTGTAAATTTGTGATGATAAAAATCAATTTCTAGAGAGCAGGGCACGGAGAGGAGAACTGTGTAGCTCTGTTCCACTTATCAGGCAGAGTGACACCTTCATTATCATTAGAATGATGAATTGGTGGCACAAAGAACCATTTTCCAAGACTGGTGCATGGCCCTGTTCCCTGCAACCCTCTGTGCACTGCTATCTGTTTTAATTTTACAGACACTTCCTTCCCAGAGCAGAGTTAGAGTCCAGGGTGATGCTGCTCTCCTGCTTGGCCAAGAGGAACCCCTTCTCAGCAGAGAGCTGTCATCAGCGGCCAAAAATTACAGGCATTACCTTTGCGACTCAGCCAGAGGTAGAGGACTTACTTTGCAAGGTCCAACAGGGTCACCCCAGAATTTCAGAGATCAAAGGCATAGAAGAGGTCACCCAGGCCTAGTGCATTTTCACACACACACACACACACACACACACACACACACACACACGGAAAACAGCTGACTGGACCAATCAAGCTGGTTCACTACCTGTACCAACTGGCCCCTGTCCTCCCTCCCCTCTCCCACACAGAGGTACATGTTTGGGGGACTGACTATATGCCAGGGTATAGCTAACCACAAACATGCTTCACCTCAGGTCCCTCTCACAGCAATCCTACAAGGAGAACACAGTTACTAGTCCCATTCTACAGATGAGAAACCTGAGGTTCAGGGAGGTTAGTGCAGCTGCCCAAAGGCTCACAACTAGTCTGATGCCAGAGCCTACACCCTGACAGTCTTCTAACATGCAGCCCTGTTCTCTGAAAGAGCACACAACCTACTCTTTATGCTTCCTGGTCCTGGAATTAGGGTGGAAAGCGGAGGCTGCAGGAAGAGGGAGCAGGCACTAATAAACAGATGTTTGCAATGGACACCAAAACCTGGCACGGTAGGAATCCTATCCTAATCCTAGCTCGTATCCAGCCACCACATCCCATGCAACATGCAATATTATTGCTGCCTCATGCATTCATTACTGGAAGTGTTACTTAGTTTCCAAATATGTGGGGCTTTTCTAGTTACCCAGTTGTCCTTTACCTGTAACTTAATTGCATGGTGCTCAGAAATGTGCTCTATGGGATTTCACTCCCTTGAAGTCTGTTGAGAAATAGATATTCTTTCTAATCCTCAAAAGTATCCTACAAGGAAGGTATTTTTATTTCCTTCAAATCAGGAAACTGAGGTTCAGGTGGTTAATTAACATCCTTAAAGCAGCTCCCTGGTACAGTGCTGAAGATGAAATCTTAAAGGAGTCATCTGACTCCACTGGCCTTTCTCCATTCCCCACACAGCACGTTAGAAAACAAACACCACAAATTTCATGTTATGTATATTTTAACACAATAATAATAAACAAAACAAACATAGTTTAAAAAGCACAATTTCATTTTGTGTAAGTATAGAGGCTCCCTTACTACATATGAGTAGAGACAATTTATTGATTTATGTGTAAGCATAACAACACACCTGGTGGGTAATATAAACTTTATTCGTGTGCCTCTCCTAACAGCTCATTGTGGGAACTTGTTCACTCTTGTTCCACCTGGAATTTCACCATGTGAAGCTATGTGGACTGCTATATTATTATAGGACTTATAAGACAATTCTCTTCTGGCTCTGCTGATTTTTCTTATGCTAACTTCTAATCTAAGGCTAAAATTTTTCACAAGAGGGTCTCTCATTAGAAAGTAAAAGGTTAAAAAGTCCACCCCAAGTTTGTTCTAAACCAAAAATGTAGCATGCTTTCCACACTTAAAGATCAGAGATTCTTGGATTAGAACTCAGAGATCCTGACAGGGATTTGCCCAGGGTCATGCAGCTCACTGGGAAATGGCATGCGCAGATCTCTGAAAACCTGCACAGACAGGCATAGCACCATGTGACCTCTGAAGCAAGGGAAGACTCCCAACGCTAACTACCCCCTTTCCCTCCAGGCACACTGTGCTACATGGTGCAGGGGCTCAGCCACTCATGACTTGTGTGCCTTTGACTAGGTAATATATTTAAGCCTCAGTTTCTTCATCTGGAAAGTGGGGTGATAATACCTGCACCTCACAGACTGTTGTGAAGACTATGTGTGCAAAGCCCTTTGCATAGCAGCTGGCAGAGTGAGTATTTAACGTTGCTTTTCTGACTTCCACCAAACAGGGATCCCTTAACCTTTGCCCTTGAACTTCTCAAGTCCTGTTCTCCTTAGTCTGCCTGACTCTACATAAACCCTTTCAACTCTTTCAAATCTCTGTAACTAAGTCAACTTCATATACTTATGGGCATCAATAAAGGGCAAGGAGCCCAGTTTCTCTTCCACTAGGACCTGTCAGAACAGTAATTACTAAAGCCAGTTACAAAGCAGAGGTCACAAGTCAAGCCTGTTGGTCTTGGATTTAAATCTCAGCTCTACCCTGTACTAGGTAAAACACAACTTCTTTGTGCTCCAATTTCTCTTTGTGTCAACTTGGGATAAATTAGCTCACAGGCCATGTAGTAAGGATGACATGAGAGAATACTATGTGTTTGGCACAGAGCAACTGAAGAATGTTTATGCTTGGAAGGCCTGTGGAGGTCTGGTCCCAACCCTTTATTTGACAAATGAGGTAAGGGAAGTCCAGAGGCGAGGTGAACTGCCCAGGGTTGCTCACAATTAGCCTATGACAAAGCATACACCTATTAATAAATGCTTGCTGTGTTTTTCACCACTTCCTGCCACACTGTTAATGAATTTATCAGGTTGTACTGGCAGGAAAAAAGTAAGTGCTCAGTCCTTAAGAAAACATATTTCATGTTATATGGACAAAACACCTAAACAGGAAGATGTTGCTGTTGTGGGAGAGAATCAATGGCAACCTTGTGAAACAGGCAGAGCGGGAAACCAATGCATCAACGCTGATGCGATCATCTGTTCTCTCACATTAATCGTTTCCATCCCCCTCTGCGGCCACCAACCCCATGGAAGGGAATGACACTTCTGAGATTGAATTCAATTTCAGCTGCCCTTCCAACTCAGCTTCAGCCCAATTTCATCTGTTCAGAGCCGAGCAGAAGCCTTCTGCTGATGGGACAGGCATGCAGGGGCTTCAGAGCCCTTGGAGTTTGACTGACCTGCGGGTAGAAGGTGGACGACGCTGTGCGCGGGCTGCGGACAAACTCCATAAAGAAGGCCCCGTCCTGAAGTCAGAGGAGGAGGAAGCAGCAGCGGCAGCAGCAAATGCAAGGGAGCAAAGGAACAAATGTGGACCCGTGGTGAACCATCAGGGGAAGGAGAGGGTATGAAAGAAAAAAATAAAAATAAAAACAAGGAGGGAAGGAGAGAAACAAGGGCATGTGAGGGGGATGGAGGGGAAAAAAGAGAGAGAAAGAGAGAGAGAGAGAGAGAGAGAGAGAGAGAGAAAGAAAGATCCACCCAGAAAGACCATATCCAAATGCAAAGCATTAGCAGGAATCCACACCTTCTTGGGCAGAATATCCCACCTGTGTGGGAGCAAGCACAGGGATCGAGGTGTGTCCAAGCTCCCTCAGGTCTCATCAGAGCCTGGCTTGGAGGCCAGCACCCTCCCACATAGCTCTGAACTTCCTTCAGACCTATGTCAAGGGAGAGGAAAAAGCCACTTGGTGGGGATGGTGGGGGAAAGGTTTCAGGGGTCGCTTCCTGGCCTCCCGCCTGGCTGGATGACCAGCGGCCCTCTTGGAGAGACAGAGGCTTGAGGCTTTCAATTCTGCCTGTTAATAAACATGGCAGCCAGATGGGAGAAGAGGATTCAATGCAAGAAAAGTTCGTGCTTAATTTTTTAAGCAAATAGGGGATCCAGAAGCAGCAATACCTTCTCCTCCACTGGTTGGATAACAAAATATCAAGAAGCTGAGACATACAGAGTGTCAGAAACATATGCATCATGGGGTGGGGGTGAGGGTGGGGAGGTGGAGAGTTCTGAAGCTGTCTTCCTCTCTGAACCTATTCTTGTGGGGTGCAAGCTGCCATGTATTTGAAACAAAAACAACATAGAGGACTTTCCCGAAGATCCCTCCTTTCATCTTACTTAAATTCTTGTCCCTTCAAAATACTCTTTATTTTTTATGCATTACCACTGAAATTCAGAAATGGCACTTGATAAATCTGAAGGTCTACTTTCTTACAACTTTTCTTCAATTCTCAAAATGGAATCACTGAAGTATATGGGTTGGGTGCCCATTTTATCAATACTGTTGCCATTTCCCATCAACCACTGCGAACTCAAATAACAAACCATGGAAATATGTGGCTGTGGAGATACAATCTCAGGACCTCTCTGCATCCTAACACAAGATGCGCTGACTGGGGACACTGTTGGCATTTCTAAGCATGTCACACAGAGGTCTTCCCTTTGGCCATCTCATAACATCTACATTTCTCTTTGACTACTTGGGGATCTACATCTGTGACAAATGATAACCGTCCATGTGGATTTTAGTGCTCAGGGGGAAAATCAGAAGAGTGTACTAATCGGCAATCTAATATTTGGCCATTGGTGTATTTTAACCTTAATGCTTGTGGTTCTATAATTTCTCTGCTTCTGAGTCTGGCCCTGGGCACTGGTTCTAATCCTCAAAGATGGCAATAAGTAGGGGTAACAGCTAGAGGGCAGCGCACAAGATGCTTATGAATTCTCACTGTTCCATCTGTGTCCCTTCTCTGCTAGAACATATAGAAGTAGAGCTGCTAATGCTGCTGAGGTTTACATACATGTGAAAAGATTCTTCCTGGATGGATAGATCGTTCCTTATGCAGAGACTATCCTTGGGACTGTACCTAAAGTCACTTCTTAGAGCTGGGTGAGGGAACTACAGACTGCAGGCCAAATCCAGCTACTGGTTTATTATTGTGGGCTAAGGGTGGTTTTTAAAAATTTATATGGAGATAGAAGTACCTACATAATAGCCTTGATATTGCCTGTTGGCTCACAAAGCCTGAAATATTTATTTAGGTTTGCCAACCGCTAGTCTATAGAATATATGAGCTGCCTATAGCCTCAGTTTATACTTTCTTAGATTTTAACCCCTGCATCCTGGTAGTCTAATTCTACTCATTTATCCCAAAGAAATAATAAGAGATGCGGTCAAATAATTATGTGCAAGGATGTTGTTTGCAGTATTACTTATAATTGTGATACAGCGCAGAATAACTATAAAAACTTATGGAATAATTACCAAAAATCCTTTTTAAAAATCAGAAACCATCTACAATTTTAATAAAAAAGTAAATTACCAATGAGGGTCTATCCATATGGTGATATATTACGTATTATTGAAAAATCATACTTTTACAAAATATTTAATGACTAGAAAATTTTCATGATATGGAAGTAAAATAAACAAATACATAGATAGATGTACAAGTTGGCCACAATTTTGAAAAATGAAATACATGTATTGAATCTCCTTCATCTCCTAGTGATAGAGAGCAGGTAAGAGAACGCAGTCAGCTTACCTTCCCATACTAGAATGATCTCACATTCTGAACTTCCCAGAATGAGTAGACAGAGCCAAGTTTATTCATCTTAAAAGATACAAAAAGCCTGATCTATGGAGTTTCTGGCCCCTCTGCTGGACTTGTTATTTGGTACAGAGGCCCAAAGCCTCAGGTTTTAATTCCCCCATCCACTCAGGATGCAATCCATTGGACTGTACTTCTCAGGAATCTAACTGATGGGAATTTCTTTATCAAAGAGTTAGCTCTCATGGAAGCTGCTCCAAGAGCTTTCTCCCTCCCATCTGGGAGAGCCAAGGATGTGGCTGAAGGAAAACCAGATGGCCAATTTCACAGCTCCAACCAGATTTTGGGACTTGACCAATATAGTTTAGCTTGACTATGTTGTATCTGCATTTATCTAGCAGTTAACTTCCTTACAATTGTGAGCAGAAACTGCTTCTTTAGAAATAGTAATGCTTAAAAGGGTTCAGGGTAGAATTCATCCAAATCCTCAGCATATTCAACCCTGGATTCGAATGGCTATTCATTTGGCCCGCCATGTCGGGCCCCTGAGAGCATGAAGCAGCTCCCTGCTGGAGTGGCCCCCTTTACCTTTCGTGGGCTGTCCACGTAGGTGGGAGTCATGGCAACGCTGCTGCTCTCCGCTGGCTGGGAGGAGCTCTTGCCACTGTGCACAGCTGCCTGCTGTTCTCCCATGCACCTGAAAGATGGAAAAACACGTATCTGTGGCTTGTTGGGAGCCCCCTGGTGAAGGGCCCACATTAGCCAAGATGAAATGAAGATACTACTGCTGTCACCTCAGAAACACCCTTCTTTATTTCTCCTTCAGGCCCAACACAATACCCTTCATTGCATTCATTGTCCTGAACAGTCAATAGTCCTCCCAGATAAAGAAGAAAAGAGCTCCATTTAAAAAGCACTGTCGTAGTGCTTATAGTATTTACATATTACTTTGAAAAGCCATGTGACATGGTTTGAATGACTCCATCCACAAACAACCCTTTTTTTAATCCTCTGGGAAGACTTGTTCTCGGTTTTCATTAAATATACCAGCAGAAGCACATTCTGAAAATTAGGGCTGCATTAACATGTGGCATAAACTATATGGGGAAATGTGTCAACTCCCCATACATTTTGAAGGTTTATATGTTAATTTTTCAAATACATGCACTTATATCCCTGCTCCTCTCCCCAACCCCCAATCACACATATCTAACAGACACTATCTCGTAACACAAGACAACTATGGTTTTCTTATGACATCTCATCCCATCTCCGTTCTGATGTACATAAAAGTACATACAAGCATATTTCCACATTTATTTTCCTTTTACCTATACTAAAAATAATTATGAGCTGTCATAACTTAAATGCTCCCCCAAATTTCTTCAACATATCACTGAATTTTTATTTGGTAGAGTTCAGGAGACTCACATTATAGTCTTAAATCTTCATCACTATTGTAACATACACTTCTTGTGGTGTACGCTGTGAGGCACTGCCCAGATCCCTCTGCTATGGCCTTGCTGGCACAGTAGTGGGCCATGTTGTCCAGACTACTCACCTGTCAGCCCCTTTGGGGACAGCCCCAGCTGCAGAGCAGCCTTCTTCAAGCTCCTCCCCCCACCGGCCCCCAGCTGCCCACAGACAATGAGTGATCAACAAGGGGGTGTACAGATCTGGCCATGTTGGTCCAACTGGGCTCATCTCTGAAGGCTGTTCTAGCTCTAGAGCTTGAGTGAGGGGACCCAAGGCTGTCACTGGGCCTGCACTGCACCTGGCTGCTCCCTCTATCCACTCCTGCTTCTTCCTCCCTCCCACACATGCTGAGCCTAAGGCCTCTCCTTAATAAACAACCTGCATGTTAAACTCCATCTCAGCCTGCTTCCCAGAGATCTCAGTCTGTGACACTTCTAAAATTCTGACATGTTTATTACAGATTGTCAAGTTATCTCATACCAGAGATTAAAAATCAGTTTCCATGGTAACCTGTCATACTCTTTTTTTTTCTAGTTTATTATGGAAAAAATTCAAACATATACAAAAGATAATAAATCCCTACATACCCAGCCCCAAAATTATAGAGCCAATCATGTTTCATCTATACTCCTTACCTATACACTCCAATTATTTTGAAGCAAAACATATTTCACCTGTAAGAACTTTAATATTCACTCTATCATTAAAAGAAAATAACTTAAAAAAAAAAACATAACCATAATTCAAACACACTTAAAATTTTAAAAATTTTCCAATATCAAATATTTCCCCAACTGTCTCCCAAAAATTATTTGTAGTTTGTTCAAAACAGGGTTCAATTAAGGTCCCCCTGTTGCAATGAGTTGTATCTCTTAACTCTTTTTTAAGCTATAAGTTCCTCTTCATTGTACTTCTATCTTTACAATTTATTTGTTGAAGAAAGTAGCTCATTTGTCCTGTAAATGTACATAGTCTGGATGTGCTGATTTTTATCCCTTTATTGTTTATCATATTCCTCTGTGCCTTGTACTTCCTGAGAACTGAGAGTTATACCTAATGGCTTGAGCAGATTCAGGTTCAATTTTGGACAAGAACTCTTCTTAAGTGGCATTATATATATCTATCTGGAGGCCTGTAATATCTGGCAGTCTCTCTCTGGTGATATTAGTGGCCACTGGTGATTTCTGTTAGATCCAGAAGTTCATTAAAGATCACACATGGTAATAGTCTATCATTCCTTCTGTACCTATTAGCTGCAATATTGAAAAAAGACAAACTTCCCTACACCAATTACTTGGTTACTCTGAGGTGTAATTCATATAGGAAAAGCAGAACAATTGCTCAATTCTTTCCCATGTCCCTGCACCACACTGTCTCTCTCTACCACATCAAAATGTGTTTTCCTTTGAGCCTCATCCACAAAGGCACACTGTGACATTCTCTCCCCCAAAGCTGCAGGGAGAGGAAGACCTGGTTACCCCCCATTGGCCCCTCAGATACACATGACAATCCCCATTTAGTGAGCTGCCTTTCATGTGCTGACCTGTGGACTAGGAATCAGGGTTTCGAATGTGAGTCCAAAACCCTTGTCCTTGGAGGCTCCTTATCTAACGGCTCATGAAGGGACCTGCCAGCAAAAGACTAGTTACCCTATGTACATGCATATGTGAAAATAAACACGGAGGCCTACTGTCTTCTGCCAGGATGGGGTTGTCAGCCAAGCCTCCATAGAAGCAGTGACAATTGCCTTTTGGTGATCTCTGCTCTGACTTGGTTGTCACTGAGTTATCTTCAGCACCAGCTGCCCAGACTGGTCTCAGCCATGCTGACAATCAGCAGAAGGCTGAGACTGCTGGGGCCTCTATCTTCTACAAGAGCTTGACTAAACACACATGACTTTAGATAAAGACCAGAAGAAAACTAGAAAAACTAGACAGTTTATAGTAAGATGGCAGGAGTATAGGTGAAGTCTTTAAAAATTCTTTTCCATATTGCTATAGCATTATTTTTCATAATAAACAAAATCGGATCAGCTTAGTGCAGCAAAAACAAAACCAAAGCATACAAATAAAAAACGCTGTGTGCGCTAACATTCTATAAAGGTCTGGCTCCCTCTGCTTTACCTCCTATATTGAGAAAACATAGCAAGTCACTATACCTCCTATATTGAGAAAACAAGAGCAGTCATCTGGAGAGAGAATAAGTCTCGGGTCTCTCTGTCCTGACTCCTGCTTGTGGGATTAGCTGAGAGTTTCTCCCTTCACACTGGGGGACACTACCACCTCAAGTATCCTTCCTCTTCCAGTCTGAGCAGAAAGAGGCTACTTGGACAAGTGTATTAAAGGATGACTCACTGACAAATTAAAATAAGATTCCCCCACCCCCAGCTTCACACCCCTCCCAGCAACATATGTTCCTTGTTCTTTTTTCCAGTGGGAAAGATCTGTGATTAGTTACAGGAAGAACCTGGTGGGCTGAGTTCTGGGGTCTTCCCTTGGTCAGGTGAAGGTATTTTCTGAAGAGGACCCAGTGCCCTCAGTGATGAGCTCAACCTACCCCTGCTCTCCTCCTCTCATCTGCCCCCAGGTCCTCGCCAGGTTCCCTTGTCATCCTGTGTCCCTTCTTTTCCATTTATTATCACCCTCTCTCCAGCCTCTGTGGCCTCTTGCCTGACTAGTGAGAGGCTGCCAAAGAGTCTCTGCCTCTTGGGGCCCACCTGCCAGGCCTTTCTATACATGGGGCTCATTTCTGAAAACACTTCTGCCAAACACACCAAAGGCATATTTCATGATACTAAGGAATGACTGTAACCTTTTAGGTAAATTATAGTATTAGGACTTTTGATTTTTTTTTTTTTTTAATTTTTAAGTTTATGTATTTGAGAGAGAAAGAAAACACAAGTAGGGGAAGGGCAGAGAGAAAGAATCCCAAGCAGGCTCTGTGCTATAGGCACAGAGTCCCACGTGGGACTCAAACTGATGAACCAGTCGAAGTTAGATGCTTAACCGACTGAGCCACTCAGGCTCCCGAGGACTTTTTTTTTTTTTTATTAATTTTTTTTTTCAACGTTTATTTATTTTTGGGACAGAGAGAGACAGAGCATGAACAGGGGAGGGGCAGAGAGAGAGGGAGACACAGAATCGGAAAAGGCTCCAGGCTCTGAGCCATCAGCCCAGAGCCTGACGCGGGGCTCGAACTCACGGACCGCGAGATCGTGACCTGGCTGAAGTCGGACGCTTAACTGACTGCACCACCCAGGCGCCCCGGACTTTTTTTTTTTTAAAGGAGTACTTCTCAGGGCACCTGGGGGTTCAGTTGGTTGCATCTGACTCTTGATTTTGACTCAGGTCACGATCTCACAGTTTGTGGGATCAAGCCCTGCATCGAGCTTTGTGCTGACAGCACAGAGCCTGCTTGGGAGTCTCTCTCTCTCTCTCTCTCTCTCTCTCTCTGTCCCTCCCTCGCTCACATGCGTGCACTCTCTCTCTCTCTCTCTCTCTCAGAATAAGTAAATAAACTTAAAAAAGTATAAAGGAGTACTTCACTTTCAGTGATACATAGTGAAATACTATAGATGAAGAGATATGATGCCTGAAGCTTAATAAAGAGTAAAAAGGAAGGTGAGAACATGTGGGATATAAATGAAACAAGACAGGCCATGAGTTGGGGTCCCTGGGCGGCTCAGTGGGTTAAGCATCCAACTTCAGCTCAGGTCATGATCTCATGGGTTCATGAATTTGAGCCCCACATCAGGCTCTGTGTTGATAGCTTGGCGCCTGGAGCCTGCTTCAGATTCTGTGTCTCCCTCTCTCTGCCCCTCCCTAACTCAAGCTGTCTCTCTCTCTCTCTCTCTTAAAAATAAATAAAACAGGGGCTCCTGGGTGGCTCAGTCAGTTAAGCATCTGACTTCGGCTCAGGTCATGATCTTGCAGTCTGAGTTTGAGCCCCGCGTCGGGCTCTGTGCTGACAGCTCAGAGCCTGGAGCCTGCTTCAGATTATGTGTCTCCTCCTCTCTCTCTGCCTCTCCCCTGCTCATGCTCTGTTTCTCTCTGTCTCTCAATAACAAAATAAACGTTAAAAATTTTAAAAAATAATAATAATAAAATAAATAAATAAAACATTAAAAATTTAATTAAAAAAAAAAAGATTGGCCATGAGTTGATAATCATTGAAGCTGCAATGATAAGGAAACAGGGATTTATTATACTAGTCTACTTTACCTATTTGAAATTTTCCATTAAAATAAAAAACTTGCAAAGGATCCCTTTTGTGATAAGAACATGTAAGGACAGCATGGCATCCAACTTCCCACCTGTCTTTCCAATTGCACCTAGACTATGCCTTAAGCTCACTCCATGTTACTTTCGGAAAGCCTAATGTACACAGGTTCCTGCTTGGCCCAACATGGTCCCTCATGCCAGACAGATAAGGTCTAGTCTCCCCTAACATCTGTATAAGGAACTTCAACATCCCTTCCTCTGTCATTCTATGACTATCTATTGTGCACATACTATGTGCCAAGCACAACACACAGCCTCTGCCCTCAGAGCACAAGCAAGTCAGGGGGAATGTGAGTAAACCTGGGTAGAGTTCGACTAAGGGTTCTGATGGATATTGGTCTGGGGTGACGGGAAGCACAAAATCTGAGTTGGCTGGGAGGGTGAGGGGGCCAGGAAGGTTCCCAGAGTGGGGGCCACCTGCACACAGAGGTGTTTTCTCCTCTTGCCCAAGTTCCCCCTCGCCTCTCTGTATAGATGCTTTCTTCCCTTCAAGGCCAACTCAAATCCCACCTCCTGGGACACTGTCACTGCCCTCCCAGGCAAGATGTAGCCCCACCAATATCCTGGGAAATGGAACACATACTGTTTATGAAGGGACCACACAAATGCTTAGAGAAGCTGGCCAGGTCACATGCCTGAGGGTGCAAGACAAGTCCAAGACTAGAGGGTGTGGCTGTTCTCTGGTAAAACAGAGGGCATGTGCTCATTCCAAAGTGCCAGCCTTCCCATGGCTGGCTGTGCATGTGGACCCAGTACTATAACTGAGGCTCTTCTATTTCTAGAAAGGCTAGATTTTATTATCTATAGTACAGTGTTGTGTCAAAGTATCTGCAATACACTGTTTTATGAATAATATAATCATGTATCATGTTGTATATACTATACAACTTCTCATATACAAATTCAAATAAATCCAAATTTGTATATGAAATCTTCAAACTAAAAAAATGCAACTCAGATATTTTAAAAACATTTTGTATCTTGAGGGCAGTGAAACTATTCTGTAATGGTGGCTACATGTCATTACAAATTTGTCTAAACCCATAGAATGTATAACACCAAGAGTGATCTGTAATGTAAACTACAAATACTGGGTGATAATGTGACAATGCAGGTTTACCAATTACAATAAATGTCCCACTCTGGTAGGGGATGTTGACAATGGATTGTGCAGGTATGGAGACAGGGGGTATACAAGAAATCTCTCTTCCTTCCACTCAAGTTTGCTTTGAACCTACAACTGCTCTAAATTACAAAATGTATTATAAAAAAAAAAAAACAACAAAAAAAAAAAAACCCAAAGAAACCAAGAAACCCCACTTTATGGGCCAAACCAAATGTATCTGTAGTTCAAATTAAGTCCCAGATTGCAAGTTTATAATTTCTGGCATATTTCATGTTATTTGACACTTACTGGGTATTAACGCAGCTTTCTCATGTATGTGTGTTTTTCTTAATTTCAGGCTCCTTGCAGAAACAATATTTCACCTCCACTCACAAAACCTTTGGAGCCTGCTGGTGGGGACGAGTCACTCCCCGAGCAGGCACTTACTTCTGACTGGCCTCCATCTCCAACAGGGCAGACAGAGCTGATGTTCCCTTCTTGCCAACTGGGGGGCCGGTAGACTCAAGGGAGTGTGTGGCAATGGGCCCGGTCATCTGTAAGCCTTTCATGGCGGTCCCTTTCTAAAGCAGAGAAGAGGAGACAAGACCATCAGCCTCAGTGGGCTCCCTTAGCAGATGCCACTCAGCCCAGAGCGTGCCTGCCGTATCTGTTGTGCTTGAGGCTCTGGGAATCCAATTAACAGAGGCAAGTGACATGGGTTCCTGCTATTCAGTAAATGCTTAGAACAGCTTTTCACTTCAACTGAAGGTTCAAATGCCTGTCAACTCAAAACAAACTGCCTCCTTGAGGTGGGTTCCACAAATCACTTCACCCTTGTCGCACCACCAGGAAGTAAATAATGTTCTACCTAAATCACGGAAGAAGAAACTGAGTCCCAGAGAAGTTAAGTAACCTATCCCAAATCCCACTGAAGCTAGAGTTCAAGCTCTAGTCATCTGGTTTCAAAACTAAAGTTCTTTCTACCATGCAAGGTCTTCCAGAAATGTTTCTAATTATAAGCAATGCTGTGTACAAAGTGTAGTCAGTGTGGGGGAAGAACATGGAACTTGGGGTTAAAAACACAGCTAATGAAACATCACTACTCACAGTGGAAAGGAATGAATTACTGATACAAGCCACAAATTGTATGAACTTGGGTGAATCCCAGAGGCATTATCCTGAGTGAAAGAAGGCAGCTTCTCAAAAGGTTACACATTATATGATTCTGTGTATATGACTTTTGGAAAAGGCAACAGTACAGTGATGGAGAACAGGCCAGTGGCTGCCAGGGGTTATAGATGGAGGCAAAGTGTGACTATAAAGGGTGGCACGAGGGAGTTTTTTGGGAGTGATAGAACTACTCTGTATCCTGATTGTAGTTGTAGTGTTACATGAATCTATGCCTCTGTTAAAATTCACAGACCTGTACACACACACACACACACACAGAATCCCAGATCAGCCCTGTACTGGCTGGGCATATCCCATAACCCCATGAGCCTCAGTATCCTCACTGGGTGGTGTGGGGCTGAACACACCCAAGGTGCTGGAAATTCCAAAAGTAATGAGAGTTAAACAAGTATCGCTGCCACTACCCTCGAGTGACTTTTACTCAGTAATCCAGAGGAAGCAGCTGGGCTTGACATAGGGTCTCACCTGGGGAATGCACGAAGGAGCTGTGTGTCCTCAGGTAGGCAAGGGTGGTCCCGTGCCACAGAACACTACCCACTGGCTGCCTGTACCCTATCCCTCCCTCCTTCACCCTGCACTAGAGGAGAACTCACTATTTCAGAGTTAAGATAAATGCAACTGTAGAGTAAATAAACCGGTCAGAGAGAGGCCCCTGAGATAGGAGGAGACCAAGCACAGCCCCCACGGGGCCCACAGAGCCCTACCCGCATCATGCGATCTGAGCGATGCCGCCTGCGGATCCGGTTCAAACCCTCCACGAAGCGGATAAAACCATCCAGGAGCTGCCATTCTTCTTCATCCGCCCGGGGCCTGTCCCCATAGATGTCGCAGTGGGCTTCCCCCTCTGTGATGCGCTTGGTGGCAGTGACACAGGCTGGCAGCAGCAGGAAGCGGGTCCTCCAGAACTTCAGAGACTCAATTAAGCTGTGGAGGGCCAAAGGGAGAAAAGGGGGTGTGGTGAGCAAAAGCAGACAATAAAAGCACGCCTAATGAACACCCCATCTTGACCCTGTCCTCAGAGTCGGTATGTGACGAGCAAGCTCCCCTTGAATAAGTGTTCGTCTGATGCTACATCTCATGGCTTCATTTAAAACACTAGCTTTGGAGGTAGGCCATGAAACGTGCTTTTAGTTTATATCCCAGAGATGTCAGAATGCTTCGTGCTGCCAGACTCGGTGGGGTTGTGGCTTTTTATCATCACAATCATAAATCACACATAAAAATTAAAAATCAAAAATGAGACACCACAGGCAGTCAGGAAAAGGTTAAGAACATGATCTACGCTGACATTTCATCAAAGAGCACTTCATCACTGAAGTTTCTGTTGTTGTACCGTGGTAAAACATACATAGCAAAATGTGCCACGTTAACAATCCTGAAGTGTACACTTACTTCTATGCCATCAAGTACGTTCACACTGCTGTGCAACCATCACCACCACCCACCTTCTCACTGAGTTTTGTAACCCAGTGCAGATGTGCTTTTTGTTCTTCCATGTTTTCTAAAACAAACATCATCTTGTAATCAGAAAAAAGGACAGACATGTTAAAATTCAGGTACACCCAAGGCAGCCAGACGGAAAGCCAAGGCACACTCTCTGACCTGAAGTCCTCAGACCCAGCAGAACAGATATACTGATCTAAGTAATTCCACTTGTACTCCTCCAGCCGCTCATGGGAGAATTCCACCCAACAGGAGACGAACTCTGAGTCCGAGTGGGAGGGACAGAGGCTGTAGGTGTAGTGGATCTGGGCGGATTCATAAGGGTACCTGAAAAACAAAGGGCATGCCCAGAAGTCCAAAAGAGAATTCCTTCTCCTCCAATTCTTCTGGACCTTTCCATCTCCATATACTTAGCACCATCCTTGGCATTTCAACCCTCAAGTGCAGTAACCAACTCATCCCAAGGACTGGAAATGGAAATTTCTTAGTTCTTAAACTTTGTCATTCTTTTACCCTCCCATTCTTTATTTTTAATTGGCTTTCTAGGAATCAGGCTAAATATCATAGGCTGAATCATAATCCCTTTTAGAGGAAGGTGAGCTATAACCATAAAATAATCCTAGAGAACAAAACAGTAATTCCAAGAAAAGGAAAACCAACCACTCAACCTATCTTGAATTATGTCATGCACATAAGTCATTATGTGCACAGCATGCATTACAAACACAAGTTAGTAATGTGGACACAATTCAGGACAGTAGGTGAAAACCTTAAATTTCCAAGGACTCACTTGGGAAGGTAACGTGTCACTGTGATCATCTTATCCTTCAGCGTCACTTTGTGGAACGTTCTGCCCATACTCAGCCAGTACTGGTCCTCCTCCTCAGGGCAGTTTCGGGACACAAGGCCTAACAGAGGGGGGGGGTTAAAATCATTTCCTCCATCTAGTCGAGGATCATTCCTTTAACAGGCAATTGCTTCTCTTCCATATACAGTCAGAAAAAGGAGAAACAAAAGAGGCAACTCTTTTGAGGGCCAGTTTCATGGAAAAGACTTATTTTTGGTAAAAAAAAAAAAAAAAAAAAAGTCCTGAAGTTGGCAGAAATTTTCTGTTACTAAACCAGCCAGCAGCAGATTAGAGCCCGGGGTGCTGACAGCATCCAGAAGACACACTCAAAGCTGAACAGCCTGATTCCTCAGCCTTGGAGAAGGAAAGCTCTGGATTAGATGTTAATGGGCTAAGACTCAACTCTGGGACTGAAATGAAACTCCACTCCACTCAAGCACAAGCTGCCACTCTGGCAGTTAAGGTCCTCGCCCCCAGCGTGGCAGCCAACCTACCTTTAGTTTCCGTGACTCCCACACTATAACAATGCTTTGGTCTTTTCTTAAAAGTTTATTTATTTATTTAGAAAGAAAGAGACAGGGAGCACGCACAAGCCAGGGAGGGGCAGAGAGAGAGGGAGAGAATCCCAAGCAGGCTCCATGCTGTCAGCACAGAGCCCCAAGTGGGGCTCCATCTCACAAACCATGAGATCATGACCTGAGCTGAAAGCAAGAGCCAGAGGCTTAACCAACTGAACCACCCAGGCACCCAAAACCATGCTTCAGTTGTAATTTTCTTCTCTAAACATTTGCTCCTGTTGCTTTTTCAGCCTTCTCTTTCTGGGCCATCAAGATCCCACAGATCACTTAAGGTCACCATCAAAATTGCCACTGCTCCAGTAAGCTAGCAGATCCCATCAGCAGTTTGAATTTTACCCTGGATGTGGCTCCACATGTGCGTGTCTCACACCCTTTCAAAGTGGAGGTTCCATGAGGCCGGGGCCCAAATCTTGTTTGTCTTTAAATTTTCTGTAGCACCTGACAAAATGCCATGCCCACCGCAGGTATTGAAAACATACTAGGTGAATTGAATTGTGCATAGAAAGAGGGAAATTCTGAGGAATCAAGAAAACTGTAAGCTTTTTTTTTTTTTTTCAACGTTTATTTATTTTTGGGACAGAGAGAGACAGAGCATGAACGGGCGAGGGGCAGAGAGAGAGGGAGACACAGAATCGGAAACAGGCTCCAGGCTCTGAGCCATCAGCCCAGAGCCCGACGCGGGGCTCGAACTCCCGGACCACGAGATCGTGACCCGGCTGAAGTGGGACGCTTAACCGACTGCGCCACCCAGGCGCCCCAAAACTGTAAGCTTTTAAGAGAGTAAAAATAGTGCCTCGATGGACAACTGAGCAAAGACAAGATTCTTGTGATTAGAAATGAAACCGGGTGCCCTCAGGCAGTTCTGAGAGACAGTCACGCAGGGCAGGCAGCATGGGAGTTGTCAGGATGAGAGGATGGCAGAGGTTGAAAGGACCTTCACTAGGAACGCAAAATTTCCCAGGTGATAGTGAGGGGCGGCAGTCAGGCTGCATATAAGAGGACAGGCTTTGACTCAGAGGACCCTAGGTTAAACTCCATCACTTCCATTTGTCAGCAGTGTGCCCTTGGGTACCAAACCTCTCTGAGTCTCATTTTCTGCAACTAGAGTGTGTCTGAGGGCCCCCATCCCTGCATTCCTTCTTTCTTGCAACAACCCCCTGCTGGCTGTAAGGAAGACAAAGTCATGGGATAATGTTCATGAGCACCTAGCACAGTACTGAGACCCCACTCTAAATTAGTTCCTGTTTTGGGGCATCTGGGTGGCTCAGTCGGTTAAGTGTCCAACTTTAGCTCAGGTCATGATCTCGCAGTTCATGTGCTGGAGCCCCACGTTGGGCTGTCTGCTGTCAGCACAGAGCCCGCTTCAGATTCTCTGCACCACCACCCCATCCCGCCCCCACTTGTTCTCTAAATAAATTAATTAAATAAATAAATAAACTAAAAAAAGGAAAGAAAAAAATTAATTGGTTCCTGTTTTCATCCTGCACAGCACTCTTGACAATCTGTGATCAAATAAATACTTGTGGTTTATTTAGTCTAATGCTTGTTTTGCCCAGTAGATAATAAACTTTGAGGACAGGGCTGAGGCTATTCTGTTCACTACTGGAACAGGGTCCCCCTCATAACTGGTAGTCAACAAATCTTCAATCAGAAGCAATCTCACTTATGATAGTCACTTTTCCAATAACTAATAAACAACAATGATACCATTTCTGTTACTACAGAAATAAAAGGATTAAATTTATCACAGGAAAAAATAGCCAGAAAGAGTATGGTCAGGTGAGTAGACTGGCCAACTAGCCATGACACGAGACTCATGAATCGACCAGAGCAGAAGTGGATGCCAGAGGAATTATGAACCTCTAAGGGCTATTCTAGAGAAAAGCAGGTAGGAAGGCTAGATGGGGCCACTGACACTAAATAAAGATTAATTCATTCCACTATTCCTGGGATAAAGAACAAAATCCTTCACATGGCCCTGTGAGGCCTGGGTCTCCTGACATGTCTGGCCACATCTCCAGCTTACTCCCTGTGCTCCATCCCACCAGTCTTCTTTTTGTTGTCCAGAAAGTGTCACAGTGCCTCCTGCCACAGAGCCTTTGCACATACTAATCCCTCTGCCTGGCATGTTCTTCCCATATACTTCTACCCACTCCCAACCTGGTTCTCTTCCTAGTAACTCTTGCACATAGTTTAGGTCTCACCTCAAACATCACCTCCTCACGGAAGCCATCCCTGACCCTCCAGACCAGATCAAGACCAATATTAAATATCCTTATAGCCCTTTGATTTTTCCTTCACAGTCTTTATCACAACAAGGAATTATATTATTTCATAGTATGATTAATGTTATTTTTCCCCACTGGGCTATAAATGCCCCACAGAGCAAGGGCTTCAAAAATACTGTTGACTGACTGACTGAATGAATGAATGAATATATTTATCAACCCATATTGTTGTATGCCAGGCACGGTGGTCTCCAATGTAAAGGATAAAAACGTGAGGTTGACATAGTCCTGGAACTCAAGAAGATTACTATTCAGTACAGTCTAGAAAATAAAAAGAAGACAACAAGTGATAAAAAACATAATGGGCTCCCAAGAAAATCCAGAGGGAGCCCAAAGCTTCATCATAAGCAACAAGGCCTGGACTGGATAGACCACCAAGCTCTCTATCACAGATCCATACTTCTTTGATTTTCTGGCCAGAGGCACTCTAATGGAGTCAAAGATGATCTGAGGTTTTGAGCTGGGAGGTTAGGAAAGTGGGGAATCTCATTAGCTGCAAGGAGGAAGCAGGAGCCTAACAGGTACTTACTGATTGTTCTGGGAAATGATCCCTGCTTTCTGGTTCTAGGCACCCATACTTAATTCTCTCTACCTGACTTATTTCAGAAGAGCTCTCTGGAGCCTGGCTGTAACTCAATTGGCATCACTGAGTCTCTGTCACTTAGTGTCTGCCACTCACAGACGATCCATTCTTGCTTCAATGTGCTAAGCTTCAGCAACAAGTAAGAGAAGATGAATCCACAATGGGGGGGTGGGGTGGGAAGTATAAACTTCAGGTTTACAAAACATCTGAGAACCTGCTGTGTGCCAGGTACTGTGCTAGAAATAAATATTGGGTCTAAAGGGACGCCTGGGTGGCTCAGTCGGTTGCATGTCCAACTTCGGCTCAGGTCACAATCTCACAGTTTGTGAGTTCGAGCCCCGTGTCGGGCTCTGTGCTGACAGCTCAGAGCCTGGAGCCTGCTTCGGATTCTGTGTCTCCCTCTCTCTCTGCCCCTAACCCACTTGCATTGTCGCTGTCTCTCCCAAAAATAAAAATAAACATTAAAAAAAGTATATTGGGTCTAAAATATGCACTATGTACTTTGACAGTTCAGTCCTGGCTCAGCTGCCTGCTACTCCAGGGTATTGCCAAAGCCAGGCTATAACATTCCTGAACTGGGTCATATCCTCTTCCTTAAAAGGAGAGTGGTAGACTAAAGAAAATTTTAAGATAAATCTGGGCCTAGTGGAGACTATATTCCTCATGTAAAGTAAAATTTTGTGAATTTTGTGTTGAAAAATAATTACTCCTAAATTTGTCTATTCCCTACCATCTTGAGAACGTACTCATACAAATTAAGTTGAAAAGAAAAAATACAAGTCCCCAGAGAAAAACTTACCTCGGCTATAGAGTGGGCTGCTGCTCAGCGGGGGTGGGACAGCAGGGTTGGGTTTCTGTGCCTTGGGCTGCACTATGATTTGGTAGCCCTGCATGAGACGCTGGCAGATGAACTCTTCAAACACCTGCTGGGCCGTCATCTGCACACCTTCCTCATCCCTCCTGAGAAAACAGACGGTTGTTCACATGGGTGTGCTTGGCCCAGGTCAGAGTGACACTCAGAGTCTATACTCCCATCCTCTGTTTTTGCTTTGACCCCACAAGCCAGCCCTGATAACCATTGTATGGTGGTTCATAAAACTATCAATCTATAAACCAGTTTTGGGAGAAATGATCAGTTGAAAAGAGGCAGAAGAAGAAGGCAAATAAAAGCTAATAGCCAATCTTAGAAAAGAAGATGAGGGATGCCCGGGTGGCTCAGTCAGTAGAGCGTTCAACTTTTGATTTTGGTTCTGGTCATGATCTCAGGGCTGTAGGTGATCTCAGGCGCCTGGATGGTTTAGTCAGTTAAGCCTCCGACTCTTGATTTTGGCTCAGGTCATGATCCCACAGTCGTGAGATCGAGCCCCATGTCGGGCTCTATGCTGACAGCATGGAGCCTGCTTGGGATTCTCTCTCTCTCTCCCCCTCTCTCTCTGCCCCTCCCCTGCTTGTGCACATACTTTCTCTCAAAATAAATAAACATTTTTTTTAATTAAAAAAAAATTTATCTTTCTCTCCCTCTGCCCCTCTCTCCAGCTAGTGCACTCTCTAAAACTTTAAAAAAAATGTTTTTAATTAAAAAAATTTTTTTAAAAGAGATTTAGTGTGTCTAGAACAAATGCAATAGAAAAATATGAGAAAGGATCAACGAGGACAAATGGCTAAAGGAGGCATGTCAATGGAACTCTAAAAAAAAAATTGACAATTCTTGCTTCAATAAAATTCTCTAAACAGAAAAGGAAGACACAGGCTTAAAAATGCAGTGTTTTGATGCATACCCCAAACCCTCCTCTGACACCGACCTGTCGATGTCTGCTTCTGGGAGGAGATCATAACAGCCCTCCGTGTAGTCGTTCTGCAGGCCCTGGCGGTCAGGGAAGTAGTCGGTGGTGAGGGGGAGACACGCCGGAGTAGTGAGAGACTTCCAGTCCACTCCAACTGTGCAACAGAAGCCTGGCACTACAGGGGGAGCAGACAGTGTCAGAACTGCCTCGTGTAACAGGGGAGAAAGGTACGTGTGGTCACCAGGGCAGGTGTGGGACATGGGTGGGGTGGGAGAGAGGAGTGAAAGGTGACAAAATTGCCAGGAAAGGGATGGAAAAGAAGAAAAGGGGTGGGGGAGGGAGGAAGAGAGAAACAGAGTTTGTTAGATAATGCAGTGCAAGTGCTTATCCAATCCCATCATGCAAATGGGATTCACAGCTGATATTTTTCATTTTTTGCCGATCTTCAGCTAACAGCCACAATGCCAGTGAGGTTACTGCAGGGTAGCACAGGCAGTGTTATGCATCGAAGCAAATCAACATTCCAAGAGCAGAAAACAGGCTCAAGCCAGAGCCTCTCTGGAGGACTGCAGAGTGGCCGGTGGGGAAAGAAGAGCTCAGCCAGGTTTTGGAGCAATCAGCACATGGTAGCAGAATTCAGGAATACTTTCAGAATTGCAAAAATAGGTCACAGATCCAAAAGGGTAGGAGGAGAAATCAAAGAAGGGTGTCTGGGAAAGTTACAAGGCCATAACGTCAAGAGACAGACTTTAACAATCTAGAAATGAAAGCTGCAATCAGCAGAGTGGGCCCAATCACATGGATCTGTCCTGAATCGCCTGCTCTTTGGTTAAAGCAGGGTTTCTCCACCTTGGCACTACTGACATTTTAGACTGGAAAATTCTTTGTCTTGGGGGGCTGTCCTTTGTATTTTAGGATTTGAACAGCATCCCTGGACTCTACTTACTAGATGCCAGTGGCATCTCCTGGTTGTAAAAACCAAAAACGTCTGCAGATGTTGCCACATGTACCCCCAGGGAGCAAAATCATCCGCAGTTGAGAATCACTGACTTAAGGTAATAGGGAAGTTATCTCTTTAAGTAATTTAAGCAAATATTATTTTTCAAATCTTTATACAAGGGAGCAATCTGAAGCAAAAACACTCCATGACTTTGCCTCTGAGTATCAAGCAAGGGACACCTTAAACACCTTATCTTTGGGGTGCCAGGATGGCTCAGTTGGTTACGCATCCGACTCTGGATTTCGGCTCAAGTCATGATCTCACGGTTGTGAGACTGAGCCCCACGTTGGGCTCCGTGCTGAGTGTGTAACCTGCTTGGGATTCTCTGTCTCCATCTCTCTCTGACCCTCCGCAGCTCACACTCGCATGAACATGTGCGCGCTCCCTCTCTAACAGTAAGTAAATAAATCAATAAATAGCACCTTATCTTTTGCATAGTGCTAATGCAGCTTACATTGTGATTCACCTCTGTCTCATTCACCCTATCTCATCAGCTGACACATGGCCTCCTCAGAGCAGGTACTGCGACATCACTGACCCCTTTAAACACCTGGCCAAGCCGAACCTCCCAGAAGTTACTCAATCAGAAGCCTCTCTGCTTAGGGATCTTTCCACCACATAGTGACACACACACACTACCCAATATGACAGGGTCCCACTGAACCTAAAGGACAAGAAGAGGACCCGACACATAGTGGGAAACACGCCCCATGTAGCACCACTGCCTTAGGAAATTGCAACAAAACTAACTCCCTGATCTACACAGGTCTAGGGTATTTTATTTGTTTATTTGTTTGTTTGAATTCTATTTTAGTGTGGTAAGCACACTTAACATGAGAGCTACTCTTGGCAAAATTTTAAGAGTACAACACAGGAATGCTAACTTGGGCACAGTGTTGTGCAGCAGATCTCTAGAATTTATTCATCATGCATAACTGGAATGTTATATCCACTGATTAGCAACTCCTCACTTCCACCTCCCCTCAAGCCCCTGGCAACCACCATTCTACTCTCTGATTCTGTGAGTTTGACTATACACAGGCCTTGATAACTCATTAACACTTCAAGAATTAAAAAATCACAATCCAAAAGAACCTAACTGATCACCCCAATTTCCCAATATGGCAGATGAAGGAGTAAGCTTGTTCCTAGTTCCCAGTTAGAACCAGGAGCAGAAGGAAGACACCCAATCAAAACTACAGTAGGAAGCCAGAAGCAGAAGACAGTTGAATATGCTGTCTTAGATCGTTCTAGCTCTCATTAGCTTCCTGACCCTCTGGATCACAAACATCCTTCAGAAATGTTTTCTGCTGGGCACACACCAAGATACAAACACTCAAATGTCTGGTCCAAAATCCCATGGTGAGAAAAGTTCCTGATTCTTAGTTTAATGATGTTTTTTCCTTGGGCAAACAGTGTGGCCTCTTTTCTAACTCCAATATCTTTACGCCCTATAGAGAAGGACTCTGAAGAGGGCCCACAACAGAACCGTTGAATTAGCAACGATAAACATGGATTCCAAAATCCAGTGCTAGGGTTGTACAGAAAAAACAGGCTCATCTATTCATTGTTGGCAGCATTCTGGAAAATAATCATCCTGCCAACCATACTTTGGGGAAAATATATTCCAGGATGTGAACTGAAAGAAAAGATATACCCACTGCACCATGTACTATACCTGTATTCAATAGTATTGCTAAAAAACTAGAAACCACCCAAAATGACCCCCAATAATAAATGATTTTTCAAACTGGGATGTAATGTGTTTGATACATGTGCTAAGTCACTAAAAATGACTAGCGGGGGGACACGTGGTTGCTCAGTGGGTTAAGCATCCAACTCTTGGTTTCAGCTCAGGTCATGATCTCGAGGTTCCTGGGTTTGACCCCCCACATTGGGCTCTGTGCTGGCAGTGTGGAGCCTGCTTGGGATTCTCCCTCCCTCTCTTTCTGCCCTTCCCCGACGTGTGCACACATGTGCACATTCATGCTCACTCTCTCTCAAAATAAAACATTAAAAAAAGTGACTAAGGGCTCTTGGGTGACTCAGTTGGTTAAGCATCCGACTCCTGATTTCAGCTCAGGTCATGATCTCATAGTTGTGAGATCAAGCCCCACATCAGGCTCCACACTGGATGTGGAGCCTGCTTAAGATTCTCTTTCTCCCTCTCTCTCCCCTTCCAATGCATGAGTGTGTTTTCTCTCTCTCTCTCTCTCTCTCTCACAAAAAAAAAAAAAAAAAAAAAAAAAAAAAAAAAAAAGAGGGTGCCTAGGTGGCTCAGTCAGTTAAGTATCCAACTTGGGCTCAGACCTTGATCTTGTGGTTCATGAGTTCAAGCCCTTGCGTCAGGCTCTGTGCTGACAGCTCAGAGCCTGGAGCCTGCTTCAGATTCTGTGTCTCCTCTCTCGCTGCCCCTCCCCCACTCATGCTTGGTCTGTGTCTCTCAAAAATAAACATTAAAAATTTTTTTAAATAATAGAAAAAGAAAAAAATGACTAATATGAGGAATCAGAAGAAGTAGTAAAAGGATTATTTAGTTAATTATAAGTGGGAAGAAAGATTCAGTGATGTATATCTACTGGTCACAGCTAAGTAAAATAAAGTCTACCAGGTGGTAGGATTTTTTTTTTTTTTTTTTCATTCTGCTATTATAGATATTTAGATGTGCTCTTCCTGCAGATATTTCAACAGATAAAGATGATTTTAAAAAAAATGCAACCCAGTCAAACAATTTCAACTACAAGTATGTAAACAGTTCTAGTCCCTCTTATTCCTTTGTTCCCCAGAGCCATCACAAGGCCTTTAAGGGCTAAGGCCAGTTCTGAATTGGCGTAAGGACCTCATGGGAATTCCATTACCCTTCCCACGTGCTGCCGAATCACATTCCAGAAGAGGTTATTTGGCCACTCCCCTCTTCACTTTCCACTGGAGAGGCTGAAAATTTTTCCTTTACCACATTGCCTTCTGGTACCCAGAGATGTGTGGACTTCCCACAGAGCTCCCCTTTGCTTCCTCATGCTCTGACCACCCCTGCCCTGACCCCACCCCAGTCAGCTGCTCCCTCTTACTTGGATCTGGAGAGGTAGAAACACTGTCCTCTAGAGAATCCTTGTTTTGGGTCCTAGGATTCATACCTATGGAAAGATGAAAATAGCTTAATGAGGCTCATTCTATAAAATAAAGAAATAAATGAAAGTACTGGCCAGTTATGGTTGAAAAAGCCCAAAATCATAGCTAAAAATAAAAATGTGAACCAAGTACAAATTCTGTGAATATTTCAAACAACACAAAAGAATCAATCAAAGAAAAATGAGCAATCTATAACTTGGGAATGATCCAGAACATTACTCTGAGGTTATCAATACCATTCTTTGCCCAATGAGACCATTAGCATTGGCTTACATGCACACGTGCACACACACACATACTAGCAAAAAGCAATCCACCATTTATTTTAAGAAAATGGCTATATTTCAAAGTCACTTCAACTAATTGGATAAATCTTTAGCAAAAACAAAATGACCTATTTAAAGTTTATTTCACTTATCAGTCATCATTATCTGGAATTTCCTTCTCCAAATCATAGCTTTCTGGAATATGACCTAAGACATATTAAAACTCACCACTTTAAGAGAAAAACAATGATTTTCCCTATAAGTGTCTGAAAGAAAAAACAGAAAGATCTTTGAAATGCAACTTATTGCCTGAAAAGTAACAGAACTAATTTTAAAGTACATATCAATATTTATTTTTTTATGTTTATTTATTTTTGAGAGAGAGAGAGCGAAAGACAGACAGAGTGTGAGCAGGGGAGGGACAGAGCAAGAGGGGAATAAAGAATCCGAAGCAGGCTCCAGGCTCTGAGCTGTCAGCACAGAGCTTGACACAGGGCTCAAACTCACGAGCCTCGAGATCATGACCTGAGCCAAAGTGGGACGCTTAACCGACTGAGCCACCCACATGCCCCAAAGTACATATCAATGTTTAAAGGTCCCTTTCTAGACACATATACTTACTAGAAAATTATGGTACTATGAAAAAGATTGGGAAAATCCTCACCAACCTGTCAACAGTGGCTACCTCCAAGGAGAAAGCTGGGGGAGGTGACAGGAGGTAAACCAGAACTTACAGTTTTTATTCTAGATACTTTTGTGTCATCTGAATCTTTTATAACAAGAATAAATACGTATAAGTCCCTCATGGAGTCTTTGAAAGGACAAGCCACAACATGAGAGAAAACATCTGCAAATCACCTATCTAGCAAAGGATTTGTAGCCAGATTACATAAACAGCCCTCAAAACTCAAGAACAAGAGCACAACTTAATGAGAAATAGGGGAAAAGATTTGAACATTTCACTGAACACATACAGAAACCAAATAAGCACATGAAAAGATGCTCAACTTCCTCAACCATTAGGGAAATGGCAAGTTAAAAGTACAGATACCTCTACAGACCTCTTGGAATGGCTAAAATGACAAGTCATGCCAAGTGTGAACAAGATGTGGAACAATGGAAACCCTTATTCATTGATGGTAGGAATGCAGAATGGTGCACGGCTTTGGAAAACAGTTTAAAAAAAACAGTAACTTTTTTTTTTAACGGTTTATTATTTTTGAGAGACAAAGAGCATGAGCAGGGGAGGGGCAGAAAGAGAGGGAGACACAGAATCTGAAGCAGGTTCCAGGCTCTGAGCTGTCAGCACGGCAGCTTCTTTAAAAGTTAAACAGGGGCGCCTGGGTGGCTCAGTCGGTCAAGCGGCCGACTTCGGCTCAGGTCATGATCTCGCCATCAGTGAGTTCAAGCCCCACATCGGGCTCTGTGCTGACAGCTCGGAGCCTGAAGCCTGTTTCAGATTCTGTGTCTCCCTCTCTCTGACTCTCCCCCATTCATGCTCTGTCTCAAAAATAAATAAACGTTAAAAAAAAAAAAGTTAAAAAAAAAAAGTTAAACAGATAGGGGTGCCTGGTTGGCTCAGTCAGAAGAGCATGTGATTCTTGATCAGGTTAAGGTTGGTTAAGCAGCCAACTTCAGCTCGGGTCATGATCTCATGGTTCCTGAGGTCAAGTCCTGCGTTGGGCTCTGTGCTGACAGCTCAGAGCCTGAAGCCTGCTTTGGATTCTGTGTCTCCTCTCTCTCTGTCCCTCCCCTGCTCACACACTCTCTCTCTCAAAATAAATAACCATTAAAAAAATTTTTTTAATAAATATGTAAAAATAAAAGTTAAACAGATATTTTACCATTTGACCCAGCAATTCCATGCCTACGAACTTACTCAAGAGAAATAAAAAAAAACTGTTATGTAAATGTTTATGGTAGCTTTATTCATAGTTCCCCAAACCTGGAAACTGTCCAAATATTTTGCAAATGAAGGGATAAACAAACTAATATATTCATATGATGGAATGCAACTCAACAATAAAAAGTAATGAACATTCAACAACTTGGATGAATCTCAAATGAATTATATGCTGAATAAAAGAAGCCAGACTCAAAAAGCTACATACTGTATGATTCCATGTGCGTGACATGCTGGGACAAGACAAAACTAAAGGGAGAGAGAACAGATCATCGGTTGCCAGGGGACAGGGGTGTGGCTGAGTACAAAGGGGCCACCCAAAAGAATGTGGGGTGAAATGGAAATGTTCTGTATCTTGATGTGTTGGTGGTTATATGACTGCATGCATTTGTCAAAACTCACAGAACTGTACACTAAAAACAGTGAATTTTACTGTATGTAAATTTTTAAATTAATAAATTTTTAAGAATTTAAAAAGAGATATCACATGGCCAAACAATTTTAGAACTTCGTTTTTGGAACTGCCTTCAGTAGATTTTTTTTTTTATTACCATTCATCATAATAAGATACAACTGGTTTATTAAGTCAAATAAGCATAGTGTTTCATTTTATTCAAACCCCTACTATGAGGCAGATATGAAGAAGGTACTATTCCCCTTCTACAAATGAACTAAAGCTCAGAGAGGGGAAGTAACTTACTGAAGATCACACAGTAAGTAGGTGAAACCAGCATTTAGACTCTGCTCAACTCTACAGACGTCTTATTTCCTGACTCTCCATCTGGGGCACCAGTTTTCAGCTATTGAAAATGTTATTTCTTCTTTGTCAACAGTCAAAAGCCATTTGGAGCTAAATTTTCTGAAAAAGCTATCCTGGCTGACAACATCCATTTTCATGCAAACACAAAGCGAACTATTAAGAAGCAACGAAGTGGATTTTCTTGTTTAGCCTGAGAACTGGTATGAAGGCAATTACAAAATCAGAATTCTCAAAGCATTCTGAGCAATAGGAAATTATTAAATACATTACCTCACAAGTTGAGATGCTAAATTTGGTCATTAGAGAATCTTTTCTTTCTTTTTTCTTTCTTTCTTTCTTTCTTTCTTTCTTTCTTTCTTTCTTTCTTTCTTTCTTTCTTTCTTTCT